ATCTTTTTGTCCTTTAAGTAAATCCAGAAATAACTATATGATTATTAATTTTTTAAACATTATTAAATATCTAAATAAATTGATTAAGTTTCTTCACATATAGTTTGTGATTATAATTTAGAAAGAATATTTCTTTGCTTTTAAAATTAGTGTTATTATAATGTGAAAAGATTACCTTCAAGTTCCTTAAATTATAGTTTGTACATAAAAAAGTATGAGACTTACCTGGAATCTGTTAATTTGTAACTGAAGTCACCCTTGGCAGATGTTAAAATATACACAGGACTTTCTTCAGGTCCACTATCATCTTGTTGCGAGTGACCCTGGTGGTCACTACCTGGAAGGCTACCATACTGTGGAGCATCCTCACTGCGTCCAGAGGCAGAAGAGGAGCTCGAAGAAAGTGGTTTTGCATTAAGTGTGCCAAGTGAACTAAATGTTCCAAGTGGACCACTAATACTGCCATTGCCACCGCTGACTCCAACGGATAGCTGACTATCACCTGCGAAACTGGACACCATGCTCGTTGCCCTATGACATATCAATATTTATAGGTATTATTTAAATTTGTAAACGTTATTTTGCATATTTAATACAGTATTATAATCAATCACATATTCTAAATTATAATTATCCATTAATTTTGATATCAAGAAATTTATTATTTTAACATTATAGTACCATTTGTAAATATGCTTCTTTCATGAAGTATTTCAAGAATTATTTCATGCTTATATAGAAGTGAGAAAGATGTTGCTCATTCGGAAGTATGTATTAATACTAGAAAGACTAAGCTTGGAAAATAAATCTGAAGTCTAAGTACTCTCTGCAAGTAATTAAAGTAATTATTTATTGTTGCCGTTTTTATGGTAAATAATGTATGNAGTATTTCAAGAATTATTTCATGCTTATATAGAAGTGAGAAAGATGTTGCTCATTCGGAAGTATGTATTAATACTAGAAAGACTAAGCTTGGAAAATAAATCTGAAGTCTAAGTACTCTCTGCAAGTAATTAAAGTAATTATTTATTGTTGCCGTTTTTATGGTAAATAATGTAT